ACGCACGCACGCACGCACGCACGCACGCACGCACGCACGCACGCACGCACGCACGCACGCACGCACGCACGCACGCACGCACGCACGCACGCACGCACGCACGCACGCACGCACGCACGCACGCACGCACGCACGCACGCACGCACGCACGCACGCACGCACGCACGCACGCACGCACGCACGCACGCACGCACGCACGCACGCACGCACGCACGCACGCACGCACGCACGCACGCACGCACGCACGCACGCACGCACGCACTTATTTTAATTTAAATATATAACAGAAATAATTCTGTTTTTCTCGACAAACTGGCAATAATACAAACAAACGTTCAAGACGTTTCGACCCTTGGTTTGGGTCCTTATCTTAAAATCCTCTTGACCGCCCGAGCTAGTCAGTACCTGTGTAATAGTTGCAGAGAATAAAGACTTTATTATATAGAAGTAATTGCGTCCATTTTATAGTGTGTAATAACTAGAACACCTATAATTGGTGACCCCCACAATTAAGTGGACTCCGCTGTTTCTTTTCTCCTTCTATCGCAAGATTAGCGCGCGGACAGGCCCGTTCGAGTATGCCGTTCGAACATTCACCGCCACGAGACGGCTTGAAGCCCGACGAGACAGATGAGGATTTACAACTCGAGGCAAGCGGTCAAGGAACGGCAGCATTAGGAGGTTCGCACGCAGGGCATACACAAGCAGCAGTAACCCATCCGTTAATAGACGAGGCATGGGTCAGCGCAACGCACAAAGTAAGGTTACCGCAACCATTTTGGCGCGAAATGCCTACGCAGTGGTTCAATGTAGTAGAAGCCACTTTTGCATTGAACCGCATCACAAGCGACGAGACTAAGTTCCGACATATCTTAAGTAATCTAGATCGGACCACCATTCCATTCGTCACTGATTTAATTACTGACCCCCCAAGCCAGAACAAATACGACGCGATCAAGACGAGAATTATTAACGCCTTCGGTGAATCTAAAGAAACGAAACTGCGAAAACTATTACGCGGCCATGAATTAGGCGAGAGCAAACCCTCGCACCTTCTACAGCGTTTGCGAAACTTAGCAGGTAAAGACTGCACCGACATTATGATCCGCAGCTTATTTCTAGAACAGTTGCCGGAAAATGCGCGCAGCATCCTAGCCATTTCATCCGAGGGCGACCTGGACACACTAGCGCTACAAGCAGACCGGATTATAGAAACCATTAAGCCACAGCTAGCACTGATCCGAGCCGATAGCCAACAACCAGCCACGAGTCAAACGACGCCCGGAATACAAGCGGAAATCAACGAGATACGAAAAATGGTGGAAAAACTCTCCGCCGAGTTCAAACACAAGAGGCCCCGAAGCAATACCAGACCTACATACCACAACAGGTCCAGATCCAAAAGCCGAGACAAAACCGCGGGTACCCAAGATTCTAACGTGCTTTGCTACTATCACTCGCGATTTGGTGACAAAGCACGACGCTGCCAAGAACCGTGCATTCACTACAAAGAAGCAAAAACTTTGGAAAACTAGAAAGACCGGGACAAGAGGAGACGGCTGTCAACGGTCTCACTAAACACCTTCGTCTCCTAATTGCAGACAGGAAGACGGGAACCACCTTTTTAGCCGATACGGGATCAGATATATCCGTTCTACCTAGGAGCTTTAAAAAACACTGCAATAACGAGACTAACCTATCACTTTTTGCAGCTAATGGATCAAGAATCAAGTCATACGGAAACCTGGAACTAGAACTCAACTTGGGTTTAAGACGTGCCTTTAAATGGAACTTCGTAATCGCGGACGTTTCAACACCGATCCTAGGAGCGGATTTCTTTTACCACTTCAACCTACTCGTGGACTTAAGGAACAGAAAGCTCATTGATGGAATCACACAACTGAAAACCGAAGGAAAAGTTACGAGCAAACAGACACAATCAGTATACATACTGAAACACCAACACACCACACATTCGCAAATATTGGCCGAGTTCAGCGATATTACCATACCCTCATCCAAGAAGGTAAAGATACACACAGTTGAACACTACATTTTAACAGAAGGACCACCACTCACAGATCGTGCGAGACGTTTAACTCCCGAGAAGTTGAGGTTCGCCAAAAGGGAAATCGACAGCTGGATCAAAGCAGGAATTTGCCAGCCAGGAAGCGGCCAATGGGCAAGTGCAATTCATTTGGTTCCCAAAAAGGACGGCAAATGGCGAATTTGCGGCGACTACCGACGCCTAAACAAAGTAACCGTACCAGATAAGTATCCTATACCGCATTTACAGGACTTTGCTCATAAATTGCACGGCTGTACGGTGTTTAGTACAATTGACTTAACACGTGCATGTCACCAGATTCCAATGGCGACACACGATAAAACAAAGACAGCTCTAATCACTCCTTTTGGATTGTTCGAGTTTAATGTCATGCTATTTGGTTTAAAAACGCTGCACAAACTTTCCAACGCTTTATGGATACAGCACTTCGAGGACTGGAATTTTATTTCTGCTACATAGATGATATCCTCATAGCATCTAAAACGGAATCAGAGCACAAGGAACACTGAGGCAGGTTTTACAACGATTAAAAGAGTACGGACTCAGCATCAACGCCGAGAAATGCAACCTAGGCCAACAGGAAGTCAAGTACCTCGGATGTTCAATTACCAAAGACGGTACCAAACCGATACAAACCAAAGTCGAGGCAATATTACGTATCAACAAACCAAAGACAATCGAAGAACTACGAAGAGTGCTGGGCATGATAAACTTTTACAGACGATTTATACCAGCGGCAGCACGAACACAGGCACCACTCCACATCCTCACACACGGAGCAACAAAAAAGGATAAACGCTCACCAAACTGGAACCAAGAAACCGAACAAGCTTTCGAAGACTGCAAGAGGCAATTGGCAGAAGCTACGTTATTAGCGCATCCAGCGGAAGACGTTCCATTAATACTAAGTACGGACGCATCGGATATCGCAATCGGAGCGGTTTTAGAGCAGCGCATCAATGGACAACGCCAACCATTGGGTTTTTTTTCAAAGAAATTAACCCAAGCACAGACCAAATATAGTGCATATGATCGAGAGTTACTCGCAACTTATGAAGGCATAAAATTTTTTAGATATATGGTCGAGTGACGTGAATTAACAATACGTACCGATCATAAACCACTCACATACGCACTGACGCAGAAACCAGACAAAGCTTCACCACGACAGATACGACAGCTTGGTTTCATAAGCCAGTTCGTCAACCACATGAACATATCGCCGGGAAGAACAACATAATAGCCGACACCCTCTCCAGGATCGAAGCAATAGACATGCCGGTGATCGTCAGTACACAGGAAATAGCAAGAGAGCAGCAACGACGCGGAACTGCAAAACCTACTGCAAGGACACTCCGCACTCACGCTCCGAAAACTGCGCCTAGACAACTCTGAAACCACAATTTATTGCGATGTCACTAACCAAATAAGAATTTATATTCCAGCCTCATTACGCAGACAGGTAGTCGATACAGTCCACGACATCACACCCAGGGATCAAGGCAACGCGCAAAACCATAGCTCAACGATTCGTTTGGCCTAGCATGAACAAAGATGTGGCGAACTGGGTAAAGACGTGTCTACCTTGTCAACGCGCAAAAATCCAACGCCACAATCAACGCATACCAGAACACATTGGAATTCCAGATGAACGTTTCCACCAGGTGCACCTCGACATCGTTGGCCCGCTGCCGACTGCTGAAGGTAACAAATACTGCCTAACAATGATAGACAGGTAAACAAGATGGCCAGAAGCAACACCAATAGCCGATATATCTGCGGACACCATAGCGACAGTTTTCTTTACCACTTGGGTCGCCCGATTTGGAGCACCAGCCATAATTACAACGGACAGAGGAAGCCAGTTTGAATCACTCATATTCGAAGCGCTGACCAAACTCATCGGAAGCAGACGATTCCGCACGACAGCTTATCACCCGCAAGCTAATGGCATGATCGAAAGATGGCATCGTTCGCTTAAAACAGCCATAAAGTGCCACGAAACACAAAATTGGGTGGGAGCACTTCCAGTCGTTTTACTTGGCCTGAGATCCAGCTACAAAGAAGATATTAAAGCATCCGCAGCAGAGTTGGTATACGGTACCACGTTGAAGTTGCCCGGTGAATACTTCGCTGCAGAGGAACCAACGGGATGTCCACAAATGTTTACCGAAAAATTTCGGGAATACATGAGAGCAACCAGGGCAAAACCCACAGCACATCACATCAAGAAGAAGCCATTTATCCACAAAGAACTGGAATCCAGCACACACGTATTTGTACGGGTGGATAGACGAAAGGGCCCATTGGAACAGCCATACGAAGGACCATTCCCAGTTATAACTAAACTTAACGATTCTCTTTTTAAGATCAACTACAAGGGACAGCCAACCACCATCAACATCGACAGGTTGAAGCCGGCATTTATTGAGGCTACAGACCCGCAGGAAGACCAACCGGAACCCGGACAATCCAGCGCAGGTATAGAGGCATCCTACGCTCCAAAGAAAACCAAAGTTGTCAGATTCGTGACATAGTCACTCGGAGGGGAGTATTGTGGCGGCATCAACTGGACCGAATCAACAGCGCCACCTACAACCAGAACCGATGGGTTTCAGAACGCATCCAACATCATCGTCCCGCCAAAAAGAGACTACTACTTCATTTGTCTCTTGACTACCGCCCGAGCTAGTCAGTACCTGTGTAATAGTTGCAGAGAATAAAGACTTTATTATATAGAAGTAATTGCGTCCATTTTATAGTGTGTAATAACTAGAACACCTATAGGCGTGTCCGGTCACAATCTTGTGTTCGGCTAGGGCTGATTGTGAGAAGTGGCCGTATTTGGTACATCGCTGGTGTTCTTTGATCCGTGTACTGATCTTCCTCCCGGTTTCTCCTATGTACACTTTTCCGCAAGCGCATGGGATTTTGTAGACCCCTGGGGCTGCCAAATGGGATCTCCGATCCTTGGAATTGGGGAGCATTTGAGAGAGTTTGTTATGTGGTTGAATATCACTCTTATGTTATGCTTGCTCAAGACTCTGCCGATGCGGTCGTTTGTACCCGTTTGTACCACCGCCAGTTTCGTTTGTACCTTCAAGGGGGTGATTGTACTGAAATTTCAAAATAGGGGTAGGAACCAACTTCGCCATTTTTGGAGATATTCGAATTCTGAAAACGGGTACTGTTTCGTAGTCGTTTGTACCCGTTCGTACCACCGCCAGTTTCGGTTTACCCTCAAGGGGGTGATTGTACTGAAATTTCAAAATAGGGGTAGGAACCAACTTCGCCATTTTCTAAGATATTCGAATTCTGAAAAGGGATACTGTTTCGTAGTCATTTGTACCCGTTTGTACCACCGTCAGTTTTGTTTGTACCCTCAAGGGGGTGATTGAACCGAATTTTCAAAATAAGTGTAGGAGCCAACTTCGTCATTTTTGAAGATATTTTAAATTCACAAGCGAGTGCTTTTTAGTAATTGTTTGTACTCGTTTGTGCCTTTTTGTATTTCGATTATACCTCAAAGTGCTAGAAAATACATTTTTAATTTTTGCAATAACGCTGTAACGGTAAATGTACTATTTTTTTAAGTCGCAAAATAGCCCACTGGGTTATAGTTTGTTCAAACTTACCAGAAATCATCATTCATTTTTAAAATTTATTAAAATGTGTTGAGCCACGTTTTCGTTTTCAGTGAATTATATACTAATCGTATTTGTAAAATTTTGTATTCATTTCATTAAAAATGTCATGATATAGAATTTTTATATAAAAAAATATTACAATGTTAACTTGTCTTCTGGTCTAAAAAAATATTTTTGCTTAGTTAATAGTTTGAAATACGGAAGGCATAGCCACTATTAATTATTGTAACATTATATTATATTACTAATTTTATGTCGCCTCAACGTTTGTAAAAAACGTAGAATAATAATAATTACTAGCATTATACAGGGTGAGTCACAACATTTGTGCCAGAGCTCGTGAGAAGGTAGAACGGATCGAGATGAAATTTAGTCCTGAACCATTTGCAATTTTCGCAATAGTTAACGAGTAATTAATTATCAAAAATCGTCGTCTTTGCCCTGCCCACTGTCCAATTCGAGCGCGTGGCGAGATGTGATCGCACGGCGATCGATATTGCCAGGCGAGGGGTGGGGACGCGAGACGCGGGAGCGGCGACGTAAGCTCGCCGGCAACGGCGCGCTGTCCCCCCCCCCTCGCCTGGCAATATCGATCGCCGGGCGGTCA